CCCTCCCCCTCCCCAAATTTGTGCCAAGCTCCGTCCCCAAAGACTCACCACTCCCTCGGGATCGACGAGCAGCAGATGCTTGGGCTGCCCACCCTGCAAACCGGTCAGCACGTACTGGCCCGGGGTGGTGGTGCTTTCCCGCACCAGAAAGTCTCCGTTCACCTTCAGCAACTTTTCGGCTTCTTTGCGGTTCATCTTCCCGTGGTACCATGGCTCCCGTCTCAGCTGCTCCTCCATGGAGGCCACCACCTGGGCAGGGGGCAGCCCCACCGGCACGGATGGGGGGACACGCAGGGCATCTTCGAAGGGCTCTGCAGGGAGAGAGGAGCGGACGGGGGGTCCGTGACCGACCTTACAGCCACCTCCCCCCAGCGCAGGCACGGCCACGGCCGCCATCCCACTCACTCATGTCGAAGAGATCTCTCTGGGTGCCGCCATTGGCCGTCGCAGGGGCGCCAGCGGCCGACGCTTGGCGTGTCTTGTCCATGTTTTGCACGTTGACATAAGACGGGTCATCGAACAGGTCCGTGCGGCCGGATCCGCCTGCCGGAGCCGGGTATTTCTCTCTCCCTGCTGCCAAGAGCACCGTGGTCAGCAGGGCTCCAGCCTCCCTCAGCCCCACCACCAGTACCGCATTTGGGGTCCAGGAAAGCAGACGGGGACCGGCAGTGTCCGTCACTTTACCTTGGGGAGGAGCGTGTTGCTTCCGAGGGTCGTAGTCCCCACCGGACGTCTGGCCGACGGGCTGCGGGGAGAGGTGGATGGTGAACTCCGCTGTGCTCCCCCATCCCTTCCCACTCCCCACGAGAGGTACCGGGGAGACGCGCGTCACCGCTCTCATGGTGGAATAACCCCGAGCGAAGAGCCCACGGCCCAGTTGGGTGTCCCCGCATCTCCCTTATAATGTGGAGCCTCCCCGCCAGGACGTGCCCGGAGCCTTACCAGTGTGGCCCCCAAGTGATTTGGGCTCTGAGCAGCCCCGTCCCGCAGCCGCATGTCCACAACCCCCCCGATGGGAGGCTCCTTGCCGGGGAAGTCATTGTAATACTGGTGATCTGGAGCTGGTTCCTCCTCTTCCTCATCCCAGGCAGAACCATCAAATCCTGCCATCCTGGGGCGGGGGGAGAGCACAGCACAGATGAGCAGCTGCCAGCAGCCGGGATTGCATCCCTCCCCTCTCCAAAACCGATCCCACCTTCCTCCTTTCCCGCACAGCCCTGCCCTGACCTGTCGTGGGGTGTCACCAGTTTCGGGGGGTTCTTCAGGTACTGCTTGAACCGCAGCTCGAAAGCCTGCCCGATGGTGCTGATCACGTCCTGCGCCAAACCCTCGGGGCACTCCAGGATGTGGCAGGCTGGGGAGGGAACGGCGAAATGACAACGGGGAACCCCAACGTTAAGTTTCCCACCCCTCGAGCCCGCCCCTACGCGCCTCCAGAGCTTCCGTTAGGGGATCCCAGTCCCTCCCCACCACACCGAGCTGGGCCTAAACCATCCCCAAAACGGGGCTCTGGCATTGAGGACCCTCGGCAGCAGCCTCACCTCTCTGATTGACGGGGTCTTTGGCAACGTAGGCGACGTACTCGGCTGTGTCCTGCGGGCGAGACGCTGGCGGTGAGACGGGGTTGCCGGGGAGCGCGGTGCCCAAGACTTCGGGGGGAGGCACCGATCCCTAGCACGGGGCAGGGCACGCACGGACGGGGACACTGTGTACTCACCGGGTCTCCTCCAGAAGCGAAGGAGATGGACTGCATGTGGTGGTTGGCGATGATCTGCAAGGCAGAGAGTTTGTTGGATGCAGCCAGGAGCTCCTCAGCACCCAGCCGGAGATGGCACCTCCTGCTTGCCACGTTCCTCCCGGGGCTGGCCCAACAAGGGGGCTTACAAGACACTGGAACCCTGGTTATGAGCCACGGGCCACCAGGAAAAGGGTTGGGACACCAACAGGGCTACTGAGAGTGGGGTCAAAACCAGGAGACCTGACCCCAGGCTGGGGGATTTGGGATCTCACGGTCCCCAAGGCCAGATCCTGCAAAGCACGTGGAGCATCGCTCCGACCTCTTCGCTCCCAGGGACTGGGGGGAGGCGGACACTCAGCAGGTCACGCAGCCCACCCAGACATCCCTTATGGAGGCTGAGGACATCCCGGGCCCCGCTGGGGCCCCTGTTGTGGACGTGAGGATTCCCGCTCACCCCCCGGCCCCCCAGCGCTCTCACCTGCTTGCAGTCAGAAGCCATGAGGTTGAGGCTGCTGGTGGAAATGGTCAGGGTGATGGGCATGCCGGCGAACTTCAGGTTGCTTTTGCCCAGGATGGAGTTGAGGGAACGACCGCAGGGCTGGGGGCAAACAGTAACATGGGGAAGGGGCTCCCCGGGCCAGCCACAGCCCGGCTGCGGGGGGACGGGCCACCTCCTGCCATGGAGATGGGCACCTCATCCTCCCCACCGCTTCTCCTGAGCTCTGCTGGCCCACCAGCGCCACGGGTTGCCCAGCCCGGGATCTGGCCCTCGGCTCCGTGCCCAGATGGCCGAGGATGCTCCACGTCCCCCTCCCCAGCAGCTCCCCAGCCCGGTCTCA